AGTTCAGTACTATTATTTAATATCAACCAAGTGAGCAATTACATCTATGGAGAAGCTGAGGCATTGACTGATGATATTGAAGAAGAGAGTCAGGTTTTTGGGGAGGTCTTGAGGATCAAAAAGATTATTGATAATTGTCAAGATGAGGTTTATCTTCATAACTTTTACTAAATCTCTCTCTTTTATGTGAATTTAATTTTCATTTATGTATTTTGTTTCTTTTGATTTTTTTTTTTTTTTTTTGTAAGAACTTTGGCTGATAAATAGAAGATTAAGCAGAAATTAAGCAGAAATTCCCTGTTATATTCTAATCCCAGAGTGTGCAACTCATCAATTAGAGTGTGCAACTCATTAATGAACAGAATAATGACCCCTTTGCTTTGCTTAACTTTAACAACCAGTAAAATACTGAATACTACTTTCTGAATGAAACTCAAAGCCAGTAATTGAAAGCTGTATATAACAGTGTCATCCAGTAGTCATTGTTTTATACGTCATAGTCCACATTTATTATTTCAGAATATTATCAAATGCACATAAATGTAATGATGCACTTTCTAACAATAATGTTTGGCATTCCCTCTCTCGCATGAGAACATTACTAAGGAGGGTACAGCTTCCTAAGAGTTTTTGCACATATATGAATGTTTGGCAAAAACTATCTTTACCGGTGGGATTTTGGCAAAAACTATCTTTACCGGTGGGATTGAATGTATCTAAGTGATATTGTTACATGCTAGAACCCACCTGCTTGCATTTGTTACCTACCTGCTGCATTGTATAAGTTTCAGCATTAAGTTCCCTCATTTGTGCTGGACATTTCTTAATATTCTTCCTTTTCAAATCGAGTGTAACAGGTCATCAGAGAAGAGAGTGAGTGCAGTTGCCATAAGCAATGATGGTCTATTTGTTTGTTTTGCTGACAAATTTGGAGTTGTTTGGTTTGTGGATTTGGATGGATTTCATGAAAATCAAGCTTTAGCCGGTAACAAGGCAGCGCCAATTCTTGCTCACTACTGTAGCATCATTACTAGCCTGGTATGTCATTTGTTATCTTTGATATCTTTTCTCTTTGTCCTTGCTCTATTGCATTTATGGCCTTTTGTGATGACCTCTAGTATAACAACTCATCTTTTTCCATGTCAGTTATAATGCTAAAACCATATCATAATTATAATGCTTAAAAAAAAAAAACTTTTTTTTTTTTGATTGGCAAAAACAAAACTTAATTAGTTTCTCATTATACGTGCAAGACTTGGTTATGTAGATTTGTCCTCAAGAGTTGTGGATCAAATGTTTCAGTTTATTGTCCTAGACATTTCTGCTAAGTTTTATTTTTATTTTTTATGTTTGGTGAATCATTGGTTATTCCCTCCATTTTTCCATGAATAACAGAAACAAATTGGACATAATAGATTTCATCATTATCTTTTTTCTACAATTTTTCCTGCCAATGTTTTTGAGGTTTATATATATATATAT